GGGGTGGCACCGAATTTCAGAAATGTGGCAAATCCCCTGTGTTTTTGGACCCTGACCCCGCGGATCTGCGTGAGGGGTGGCACCGAATTTCAGAAATGTGGCAAATCCCTTGTGTTTTTGGACCCTGACCCCGCGGATCTGCGTGAGGGGTGTTGATTTCGAGCCCCCCCAGCAATTCAGACAACGCGCCCAGGAGACGCTAAAATGCCACTTTGGGCCTCCCCCCCCCTCGCGCGGTCAATCAACTAGTTACAGTAACCAGCAATAAATCAACTAGTTACAGTAACCCGCAAGAAACAGAACTGTAACACTGGAAACTACAAGCTACAACTGGTACAGGAAACTGCGAACCTCGCTCCTACAGCCTGGTGGCCCCACAAGGGGGCCGGCGGATTTGCCCTCAAATTCAGGATCGCCCAAAATCGGAGCTTGCTCAAAGCACGGCGCTTTCCGATACAACTTCGGGGGGGCGACGCCGAGCCCGACGCCGAGCCTGACGCCAAGTCCGACGCCCAGCCCGACGCCGTCACCAAGTCCGACGCCGACGCCAAGTCCGACGCCGACGCCAACGTCGGCACCGACCCTGGCACCAACGCCTTCGCCTACGCTGGCCCCGTCGCCAGCCCCGACGCCGACGCCAACACCGTCGCCTACGCCGGCACCATCGCCGGCGCCGGCGCCCGCGCCGTCGCCAGCATCGACGCAGGTGGCCGCCACCGGCGACCCACACCTGCAGAATGTATTCGGTCAGCGGTTCGACTTGGCGAAGCCGGGCAAGTCTATTTTGGTCAGCATTCCACGCGGAAAGCCCGTCGAGGACACGCTGTTTGTTGTACAGGCCGACGCACGTCGATTGGGAGCACGGTGCTCGGATATTTATTTCCAGGAGGTCAACGTCACAGGGACGTGGGCAGACAAGGCGCAGCCCGGAGGCTTCCACTTCAACACCCGCGGCGCGCGCGACAACAAGCCGAAGTGGGTGAACTTCGGGCCAGTGGAGCTCAAAGTCGTCCACTGTCACACTGGCGAGGGGCAGAGGTATTTGAACGTCTACCTTAAGAACCTTGGGCGCGCTGGGTTTCACGTCGGAGGGCTGCTGGGCGAGGATGATTACACGGAGGCGGCGGCGCCCGAGGCAGGGTGCCAGACGACGATGTCCCTATTGGCGCGGCTGGATGGTCATGCTGCGCATCGACAGGGCTCCACGGCAATCGTTTACTAAGTCTGCCTTTCCTTCCATGGTACATGATTATATTTAATCGCTTCGCTCATGCCGCTGGCCCTGGAGCCCTCTTTAGGGCCTCTTGGGGGCCTCTTGGGGACCTCTTGGGAGTCTCTTAGGGCTCCTTAACGGCGTTTTGGAGGCCCTCAGGGCCTCTTGGGGGGCTCTTGGGGGTAGTCGATTGCGGCTCCCCCCTCGGAGGCCACGATCCTCGTGAGGGGTGTCGAAAAATACCCTCCCCTGGAGTGGTCTGGTGGCTTCTCCCGGGCTTCTCTCGGGACCTTGCCGGGGTACTTTTCGTCCGGGGGCCCCCAGGGGCCGCTCCGCGCGCGCGAACTAGAAATATTGTTAACAAGTTTCCGGAGATCTTAGCACGCCTCTGGCCCGTTGGGCCGGCGAATTCAGTGCAACGTCCTCCCCTGCCGAATGTTCTGCGCAATGCAGAGCGCCGCACCTCGAGTTGTAGCTGTCTGGCCTCTCGACCCTCGTCAGCTTGCCACACGAGTGCAGGACAAACTCTTTTGCCATTTTTGTTGTCACCTTCATGTCTCTTCCGCGTGTCCATTGCCCTGCTAGTTTGCTTCTCTCTCTCTCTCTCGCTTCTGACGTCCCGCAAACTTTCGCAGGAGGCGATCCATGGATCCGGCGCTCTCGCAGCTACCACTGTCGAGAAAGACAGCGCTGCGTAGGTGCACACAACTTCTTTCATCTGGCCCAAGCTAATACGGTGCTCAGTTGCTTCAGGTGAGCGCCCTCGCGGCTGGACGTGGACTTTGGCCACCTCCAGCAGCACAGACGTTGGCCAATTCCAGCCACAGAAAAAAAAAACAAAAAACAAAAAAAAGAGCTAGAGGAATTCGGGCGCAGGGTGGGGGTCCAGGGGAGGGGGGAGGGGCGGAGGGATGAGTGTTCATGGCCGCCTGGGGGCGTCTTGGAGGCCTCTTGGGCGCTTCTTGGGCCGTCTTGGGCGCTCAAGACGGTCCAAGAGGGGTCCAAGACGGCTCCAAGACGGTCCAACATGCCCAAGACGGCCCAAAGACGGCCCAAAAGGCTTCCGAGACGCCCCGAGAGGCGCCCAACAGGCGCCCCAAGAGGTCCCTAGAGACCAACATCATTAATTTTCTTATGAAAAGCATGCATTTTTAGCATGCACGGCTTTTCGGCTTTGACGGCGTTGACGACGGCCCAAGAGGCCCCCAAGATCGCCCTAAGACGGCCCAAGAGGCTCCCAAGAGGCCCCAAACACGGCCCAAGAGGGTCGCAAGACGGCCCCAGAGGCGCCCAAGGGGGCCCCAAGACGGCCTCAGGAGGGGGACCACGAATGGAAAAGTCCAGCTTTTCGCACCAAAAACTCCCAGGAGGCCCCAAGAGCCCTCCAAGAAGTACCAAGAGGCCCCCGAGAGGCGTCCCAAGAGGCGCTCAGGAGGCCAAAATCATGGAATTCCGATGGGAAACTTTACACTGTTAGCATACACGGCTTTTCAGCTTTCACGGCGTTGACGACAGCCCAAGAGGCCCCCAAGGCCGCCCCAAGACGGCCCAGAGGCTCCCACGAGGGCCCCAATGCGGCCCCAGAGGCGCCCAAGACGGCTCAAGAGGGCCCCAAAATGGCACCAAGAAGGGGGGGACCACGAATTGAAAAGTCTAACCTTTCGCCCCCCCAGGAGGCCCCAAGAACCTTCCAAGAAGCCCCAAGAGGCCCCCAGAGGCTCCAAAGAGGCCCCCAGGATGCCAAAATCATTGATCTCTTATCGGGAAACGTGCATTTTTAGCATGCACGGCTTTTCGGCTTTCACCGCGTTGAAGGCGGTCCGAGAGGCCCCCAAGATCGCCCCAAGACGGCCCAAGAGGCTCCCAAGAGGCCGACAAAACGGCCCAAGAGGGCCCCGAGACGGCCCAAAAGGCACCCAAGACGGCCCAAGAGGGCCCCAAGGTGGCCGCAAGAGGGAGACCACGAATTGAAAAGTCTAGCCTTTCGCCCCAAGAAGCTCCCAGGAGGCCCCAGGAGCCCCCCAAGAATCCCCAAGAGGCCCTCAAGAGGCCCCCAGGAGGCTCCCAGGAGACGTCCTACAATTTGTCCAAACCGCGGCTCCCAAGAGCAAGAGGTATCGTAACCAGTTCTTCACACCAAAGCTTCAAGAGCGAACGCTACCATGAACGATTTCGGGCCATTTCTTTTGAAGCGCTCTTTCCGTCTCTGTGCCGGGCCAGGTCTCTTGGAACCTCTTGGGCGTACCTCGGGGGCTTGTGGGGGTATCGTTGGTCCATACTCCTGGGGCCGTCTTGGAAGCCTCTTGGGGCCCCCTTGGGGGCTCTCGGGCCGTTTCTGGGCGCTCTTGGGCGCTTCTTGGGCGCTTCTTGCACGCTCTGAAGACCGGAAAGGCGGTACGGCGAGAACCATGCGAGCAGTTCTTGCTTTCTTTTCCGGTGTTGGCCTCCCGGGCCGCCCTCCAGGGCCTCCAAGAGCTTGTTTTTTTGTGGATTCAGGCAAGTTTACTTGCATGGCGTTCGCCCCCCCCCCCCCCCCTCGCCCCTCTTCAAGCGAATACTAGCGTGCAAGTGCCTTTCGACTTGCGTGATTTCCGCGCCCCCCACCCCCCGGGCTTGCTTCAGGCTCAGCCCCCCTCCGGGCTTGCTTCAGGCTCAGGCCACGGATCAGCTATGGACCATGGACCAGCCGCAAAACGACCACTGGACAACCACGGGACAACCGCGGGAAAACAAATGGGGCAACCCCGCGCGCGCCCCACGGGACAACCGTCGGGACAGCCATCGAGACAGCCATCGAGACAGCCATCCGCGTCAGCATGGCGTTCTTGGACGTTTCCCCCCCCCTCCCGTCTTCTCTCTCTCTCTCCTGTCGTCCTCGTCCTCCTCCTGAGCACCCCTTCGCCGCCGGTGGTGCACGTGCCGACGGTTCGCGCGCGGGCTCGCCTGCCGCAGCCTGGTCTTCGCGTTCGTCCGAGCTTGCTTGGGGCGCTTCGTGGGCGGCGCCGTGCGCTTTGGGAGCAGCGTCCCCTGGAAAGCACACCCCGTCGCCATGGTGGACTGCACCTCTGACTGGACCCCGTAACCCTCCAGTCGAGTCCGGAGCTGGAGGCAGGGGGGGGGGGGCGGGCGGAGGGGAAAATGTCGGGGGTGGACAGAACCCCCAACAGTGACACGTCGATTAGTGAATTGTCCGTTTTCGGTTCTCGAGAGGGCGCCGTGGCCGTTATTTTCCAGGTTTGCGCCCGCCAGGTTTGGGCCTCAGGTCGTTTTCACTAAACCACGTTTTACTAAAGGGGGGTCTGTCCATCCCCGAAGATGGGAGATCGTAGCGTAGGATGAGAGGGGCGGGGGAGGATGTGGATTCGAGGGGTGCACGGGGAAGGAGGCTTCAGGACGAGAGCTGCGAAGGCAGGCTGCGAGACGCTTGCGGCAGTCGCGGCATCTGGTATGGCAAGCTCGATGCAGTCGGCTAGCACATTGGGTGGCATAAGTTGCAGCGACGGGTATGCACACCAGATCTGTCGAGGAGATAGATGGTCGGGGAAACGATTTGCTAGACGGAGGCGGTGACGATCATGCTGGTTGTGAGAAGGGGATGGTCACGGTGTCAAGGACTCTGCTCAGCATGGGTGTGAGGGCGAGGATGATAAGGAGGACAGTGATGGATGATTCTGCATGATGGCGATGATGCTTCCAGAACGGTGGTGGTGCTGAATGTGATGACGGTGACGGTACTTTTTGAGTTGGCCAGTGGTGATGTAGGGAGCCGGCGGATGGAGCAGGGGAGGGCGTCCTGCAGTTCGTTGCCTACCGGCCCAGCGACTTTCAGGAGTATGACGACATTGTGCGCGTTCCCGAGGTTAAGAAGGACTCGACGTCTGTCAGCCAGGAGTGCACTTTTCTCACCACCCACCAAACCACACCAACCCAACCCGAAGGCCTCAATTTGCCCTCCATTTCCAGCGGGGGTGGGTCGGGGAACATTGAAAAAACACATGGAACCCGTACCCCCCCCCAACCCGAAATGCGGGTCACATTCGGGTATTCGGGTTTGGGTCGGGGTGGTCTGGTAGGTGGTCATTTCTGTGGACTTTCATGGCTCGGCGGTGCTGCATTCTGCATGAGGCTTGACAGCCGTGGATCTTCGCGTGCCCTCACCAGCCCATGCAGAGACAATGTCCAGGCGAGCTGTTAGGAGGAGGGGCTTCGATAAATTTTGCAGTGAAGCAGCGGCCAACTGTTTTGAAGAGATCAAGTTGAATAAAGTTGGAGATCTCTTTGAGCCTCTTGGAGACCTGCATCCATCTTGGAGCTCTCTTGGGGTCCTTTGGGAGCCTTTGCGGCGCTCTTGGGTCATCGACTCGATCAGGTAAGGGGGGGTTCTTACTTACATGTTCCCTGTTGGAGGGAGACACATCTCCCCTGGAACCCTCTTGGGGGGCTCTTGGGAACTCTTGGGTCCGTCTTGGAGCCCTGGTGGCCCCCTTGGGGCTCTCTTTGGCGATCTTGGAGCCATCTTGAGGCCTCCGACCCCCGTCGCAAGCGAAGGAGCCCGAATATCAAAATCCTTTGTGCTCCTCTGGCGTCTGAAGGGTGTGGGCTTCTCGCGGGCCGTGGTGCCCATTTGAAGGCTCGGATGCCTCCTGGAGCTGTCTTGGCTGGCTTGATTTACGGCGGGTTTAGGTTGAGTCGGTTGAGTGTTTTTGTGTTTTGATGCCGACGACGATTGTAATGATGGTGGTTATCAAATCGTAGTGCTGATGGTGGTGGCGATGGTGATGGTGATGATGGTGGTGCTCATCACATCCAGAATCACCATCATCACCATCGCCTTCATCACCATCACAACCGCCCTCACCATACCATCATCACCATCCCCATCATCATCATCACCATCATCATCATCATCATCATCATCATCATCATCACCATCCATACCATCAGCATCGCCATCACCATCACCATCGTCACCATTGTGGTCCGTAGGACTTGGCTCAAGGTAGTGTCGTCGTCCGCTCCTGCGGTTTCCCCGGGCCCTCCTTCGGTTTCCCCGAGCCCTGCGGCCTCCCCGAGCCCTGCGGCCTCGTCCTCTCCTTTGGTTTCCCCGAGCCCTGCTTCTTCGAGAGCGCCCTCGGCGGCTTCTTCGACAGCGGCCGCGGCGGTTTCTTCGAGAGCGGCATCCTCGAGCCGTGCGGCCTCGTCGAGAGCGGCCCCGTCGAGCCGCGCGGCCTCGGCGGCCTCGTCGAGGGCAGCTTCGCCAAGCCGTGGCAGCTGCAACAGCTCGGACGCCGATGATGACGTAGGGTCCGACGCCGACGGCGCCGACGGAGTTGCCGACGCAGCGGGCTCCGAAGGGGACAGCGGCTCCAACAGCGGCTCCAACAGCGGCTCCGAAGAGGACAGCGGCTCCAGCAGCGAGGCAACCGCGGCTGCAAGAGCGAAGGCGAAGGCCGCCCCGAGCAAAGTAGTCGAGAAGTTCCCGCCTTCGTTGCCCATGACCCTGGAGGAGCACGTCGCCAGCCACGACTACCCAAAGCACGTCTCCACCTGCGGCGCTTGCAAATTTTGGGAGAACAAGGAGAAGTGGAGCGCCTCGATGTCTGCGACGAATCCAGCAACACTGAAGAGTGAAGCTTGGATAGGCTGCGTAGGTGGTAGATTTGCAGTCTGCGTCTCTGCTCGGCGTTCAAGGGCGCTCGCTGCTATTCCACCATAGGCCAGGGATCCGCGAGTTTCCAACGCAAGGGAAACCTCGTGCGCCATGCGCAGTGCGAGGAGCACCAGGCAGCAAAAGCGGCGTGGAAAGAGCGGGTTCGAGCGGAAGGTGCGCGCCAGGGTCTCGCCGTGTCTGTGTTCCCCACAGCGGCTGCATCAGCTGCAGCAGCTGCAACAGCCGTGGCGCCTGCGCCCGCCGTCGTCCGCACCGCCGACCAGCGCCCTGTTTGCCGCGCAGTGGTCGCCACCCGTGCAATGTTGGAGACGCCCAGTTCCTTCAGTGGTTTCGACGCGTGGCGGGATGCGTTCGTTGGGGGCGACCGCCAAGTTTTGGAGTCTAGTCGGCAGCGCCGAAGGCCGGTGACCACCATGGCTCAGCACGAGAAGATCATCGCGCAGAGGATCCTCAAACATGTTTTTTCCCAACCATCCTGTGGTGTTGGGTCCTCGTTTTGAAGAGACGGTGCCCCGCGTTCCCCTCCTTCCTCTCCTCCTCCCTCCTCCCTGGGGTGTTCGCATGCGGTTCCCCCACCCAGGGCAGCGCTTCGTAGCCCCATAGGGAGCTCCACCGAAGGCCCCAGTGGGGGTGTTCGCATGCGGTTCCCCCACCCAGGGCAGCGTTTCGTGGCCCCATAGGGAGCTCCACCGAAGGCCCCAGTGGGGGTGTTCGCATGCGGTTCCCCCACCCAGGGCAGCGTTTCGTGGCCCCATAGGGAGCTCCACCGAAGGCCCCAGTGGGGGTGTTCGCATGCGGTTCCCCCACCCAGGGCAGCGTTTCGTAGCCCCATAGGGAGCTCCACCGAAGGCCCCAGTGGGGGTGTTCGCATGCGGTTCCCCCACCCAGGGCAGCGTTTCGTAGCCCCATAGGGAGCTCCACCGAAGGCCCCAGTGGGGGTGTTCGCATGCGGTTCCCCCACCCAGGGCAGCGTTTCGTGGCCCCATAGGGAGCTCCACCGAAGGCCCCAGTGGGGGTGTTCGCATGCGGTTCCCCCACCCAGGGCAGCGTTTCGTAGCCCCATAGGGAGCTCCACCGAAGGCCCCAGTGGGGGTGTTCGCATGCGGTTCCCCACCCAGGGCAGCGTTTCGTGGCCCCATAGGGAGCTCCACCGAAGGCCCCAGTGGGGGTGTTCGCATGCGGTTCCCCCACCCAGGGCAGCGTTTCGTAGCCCCATAGGGAGCTCCACCGAAGGCCCCAGTGGGGGTGTTCGCATGCGGTTCCCCCACCCAGGGCAGCGTTTCGTGGCCCCATAGGGAGCTCCACCGAAGGCCCCAGTGGGGGTGTTCGCATGCGGTTCCCCCACCCAGGGCAGCGTTTCGTAGCCCCATAGGGAGCTCCACCGAAGGCCCCAGTGGGGGTGTTCGCATGCGGTTCCCCCACCCAGGGCAGCGTTTCGTGGCCCCATAGGGAGCTCCACCGAAGGCCCCAGTGGGGGTGTTCGCATGCGGTTCCCCCACCCAGGGCAGCGTTTCGTAGCCCCATAGGGAGCTCCACCGAAGGCCCCAGTGGGGGTGTTCGCATGCGGTTCCCCCACCCAGGGCAGCGTTTCGTGGCCCCATAGGGAGCTCCACCGAAGGCCCCAGTGGGGGTGTTCGCATGCGGTTCCCCCACCCAGGGCAGCGTTTCGTGGCCCCATAGGGAGCTCCACCGAAGGCCCCAGTGGGGGTGTTCGCATGCGGTTCCCCCACCCAGGGCAGCGTTTCGTGGCCCCATAGGGAGCTCCACCGAAGGCCCCAGTGGGGGTGTTCGCATGCGGTTCCCCCACCCAGGGCAGCGTTTCGTGGCCCCATAGGGAGCTCCACCGAAGGCCCCAGTGGGCTGCTTCGCATGCGGTTCCCCCACCCAGGGCAGCGTTTCGTGGCCCCATAGGGAGCTCCACCGGAGGCCCCAGTGGCTGCTCTCGCATGCGGTTCCCCCACCCAGGGCAGCGCTTCGTGGCCCCATGGGGAGCTCCACCGAAAGCCCCCGTGGCGTTGTTCGCATGCGCCTCCCCCACCCAGGGCAGCGCTTCGTGGCACCACTTGCCAGTTTTCTGCACATGCGGACATGCGCAGATCCTGCGCCCCACTGGCTGGCGCGCCGACGCCAGCGTGGGCTGCGTGTGTACGTATATATATATACACATATATATACACTTACATATGCATAAACATTTAAATATGCATATACATTTGTATATATATATATATATATATGTATATATGCATATGTATATGTATACATATACATATGCATATACATATATGGATTATCTGATCGTCGACGCACGAGTGAGAGCGCCAATAGGGCTTTCTTGTGCGAGCCTCTTGCGATCAGAAAATGATGTGTTGCACTGAGTGCTCTGCATTGCGGTTTTGATTGCAAGTCGCTGTCTGTCCCCTTGGCACGTCCCGTGGTGCGCCCCCGCGGCGCGTCCCCAACTTATGCACTTTTCACCTCTCAGACTTTTCCATTCAGGTGATACAGGGTTAGGTGTTAAACGCGTATAAGCAAGTTAGCATGGTAAGTATTTATAAGAATAGAGTGCTCAGTTAGGTCGAAAGTTAAGTCAACGTTAAGTCGAAGTTGAGCGCATGCTAATAATATTAATAAGGCCGTCGGCGGAGGCCCCCTGCTGCATCGAAATTTGCAAGTGGTCTAGCGAAATAAGAGTGGCGACGACATTCGAGCGCATTTTGCGGCGCCTTCGGCAAAGCTCTGGAGGGCGGGGAGCCAGGGCGTCAGGGGCGTGCCCAAGGCGCGGCGACGCCATCCGAGCATGCCCCATGGGCCCTCAGACAATTTCTCGCGCGCTATGCTATGTTACGTCATGGTTTGTTCCTTGGTTTGGGGGGTTACGGCGGAGGCGGGGGAGGTCCATACAATGGCCACTGCGCCAACCCGCCGGCCCCGTGGACCCCGCCGTCGAGCCGAAAGGCTGCCGTGGAGCGGCACGGCGGCGGGGCCACCCTTCCCACCCCACCGGGCCGCCACGGCCCTTTTTTTTTGGCCCTCTGGCGGTCGCGCTGGCAGTCGGGTCGCGGGCAGCGCGGGGTCAGGTCTTGTGGGGTTGCCACGGGTGCCCTCCAAGGAGGGTAGCGGTTCGGGGGAGGAGGAGGACGGAGGATATTATGTGCGTGTTTTTTTTGGGTGCCCCCCTGTCACCGCGCGTGCACATGCGCACATGCATGTACCTAT